TAACAGTAACAGTAACAGTAACAGTAACAGTAACAGTAACTATCAAGTAATATCAAGTGTAACTATCAAGTAATATCAAGTGTCGTCCGGATGAATGCAAAGAAGTAAAGGTGGAAATCAACTGCACGAAAGAAGAGGAGTTTTGTTTTTCAGCCGTAGTGGAGTTTGGCGATCCAGATGGTGACTTTTGCCCGCCTCAAGCTATATACTATGCAAACAGAGGCTGTGCAACAAAGGGGATGTGTGATGACAAATCTAGTAAACCGTTTTTCAGCAAAAAAGATTGCATATCCGCCGCTGGTGGATGCTTCCATGAATGTTGCAATTCAGATCTTTGCAATGACGGTAGTGCATTGCCAACGGTCAGCACCCTCTTGTTGCTGGCATGCGCGCTTGTGAGCATGCTGAGTCGCTGACTCTGTGTTACTGCGATCAAAGTTGTGATTTCCTTCTTGCTAAGCCTCGTACAAGTACTGACTTGAATGAAAACGTTAAACAAAGTGTAAAATAAAATAAATTAAATATGCAAAATTAATGCCCCTCGAAATTGTAGAACCATTTACAATCCAGTTAGTACGTACAATGGGCCTAATTCCCCCAGCCTATCTGCCGAGGTTCAGAATAAAGTTTAACTTATTAAATCATTGGAATATTGATGATATGTTTTAGACTGTCTGTCTCAATTATGATTGTAAGTTTGACTACGCTCTGATAAGAAATAAAGATAAGTGAAATCGACACAAAAAGGCAAGAAGATAAAAGATGAGACGAAAGATATTACAAAGTTTGTAACGGTAATGAAAAATTAAAGCTGGTATTCCAAAAACAAAAATGTGCGATGCAGATATGTTGCGCGTGTTTATAACGTGTAACGGATAAAGATCTCTACTGCCTCCCACAACGCGCAATACTGGTATGCCTTATAGCGCAACTGAAGCACTGTCTCTACGAGAAAGCCTTTTGTCCAATGAAATTATTCATCCGTTAGATCTGCAGTATGGCTAAATTTGTTGATAAAATCCCAGTTCAATTTAATAGCAACATAGCATAGAGAAAAACCTTATGAGATAGATGGTTTAAAGAATAATGCAGTGATCAATACTTCAAGTAATATTTTAAATCTCTGAGAACAATATGCATTGTTTTTAAACTCTTATCAATTACCGATATCAAAGTCTTCTGTGGTCCTCCAGCTGCAATCATACAGCTGCTATTACGCGAAATTATGTACTTGTATCTGCAGCTGGTTACTTTAGTGGGAGCGCATTAACTGAAAAGTCCACCTGTATACGCTTTGCCAAAATTGTGCAGAGACCAGGATTGTAACAAGTTCCATGGGGAATTTGTTCATCACCTTTGCCATATTTCTTTGCATCTCTCCGGGTAAGTCATAAAACAACGTCATTTCTTACAAAAGAAAAGTAAGTGTTTTTTGTGTCAAAATACTGGAAGTCAATGAAGCAAAAAGCTGATGTTGAAACTTTAGAGAGTATTTCCCTTATCACGGACTCGAAAGGGATTTTATATTTAGCTAGGCATATGGCGTTCTGTTGTCTAAAAAGAGAAACTTTACTTTTCCTTCCCAGGATCAGCTCTCAAGTGTTACCGTTGTGAAAGTAGCGAAAGTTGGATCGAGTGCGATGATAGTGCGAAGAATATTATAACCTGCTCCGCTGGGCAGAGTCGGTGTGGCAAGGTATTTAAACGAGCTGATCAAATATCCACATTCGCCAGAGGTTGTTTATCTGCCAAGCAATGCTACGATGGACCAGAAAACTTTGAGCTATGCAGAAAAGCACAAGAGAGGGGCTCCAAAGTCACATGTCAGATGTCATGTTGTTCCGGTGATCTTTGTAATGGAGCTGCCCACATGTCAGTTGTCGGCGGTCTTATATTGCTGACATGCGCCGTAGTAGCCACTGTAGTTTATATTAGTAAGATTTGACGCTTGTATTATTTCGCGACTAATTAGCTTAAAGAGCTAATATTTTCTAAGTATTAAATCTGACACCGGTCCTGAATTATACCGTAATTTTCTTGTGGCGTTATCGCTTCAAAGAATATGAAGATGAATGTTATTAGAAAATTAGGAGTTGATGTTGATGCCATTTGATGGGATGAAGAAGCAAAACAAAGTTAAATTGCTACCTCGTAATGTCTAGACGACTGACAGAAAAGTGCATGTAAAATTGCTCGTAATTCTTAAAATCTTGGGGTGTACACTGTTATTAATTAAAAAGATAAATATGGTACATTCAGCTCTAACAGTAGTTATAAGAATATGGGAGATTGGGCCCGTTCTAGCTTGAATCTCCGGAAAGTTTAATTTGGGGCAACTACTTACGTTCTAACACAATACTGCAAAATTATAACAGAGCAAACTGGCATATGAAGCACTTATGTAGTTCTTTTTTCGCTTGTTTGGTCACAACCGTCACATATGGTCTTAGTGTTCTAAACACAGTGGGGCTTGTCCACATTGGGCTGCCTGTGGTTTGAAAAGGCGATTCGAGTGGTCAGCGGTGGGTTGATAAATTCAAACTGGCGGATGCCTTAGTGACCCGGAAGAATTAATACCACTTGAGATAGCAACCACAGCCCGCAGCGGGCGCGAGGCTAAGCATACCAGATCGGGCTGACATTTCCCGACGAAGAAAAATTGAAACCAACCCCGCTGGTGATAAGAACATCCGTGGAAAATATTGTTGTTGTAACTCCTTTTAGCGGGTTAAACATAATCATTTATGATATTGATTGTTAGGTTGAATAGGGAGCGGAAATCAAAAAATCAAATAAAATAAAAAGGTTGCAACTCGTTTTAGCAGGCTATTACATACATATTCAGGAGTCAAGGAACAGTGGAAAAAGATCATGGAACAGCATTTTCCGAAATTCCGGAAAACGAGACGTTTGCGGCGAAGCAGGCGACGCAAGCGAAAAATTTTGCCCGGCTGGGGATTGGGGTCTAGGCGGTGTTTTTCAAAAGTAAATATGGCGGCCAAAGGGAAGAGAGCTACCAAAACGAATGTGTTTTGGTCAAAAGATCGTATCCTTTTCAGACATTTTACTCACGTGATATCTATATAGCCTTTTAATAACATTTTTATAAAGGTAGTAAATTGTGCGAAGGGAAGAGATCATTTGCTCGATTGTGAACTTAAGTTTAAGTTTTAGACGGGCTAGTTGGTCCCTTTACATGTAATTAACTGAAGACTAATTATTAATTTAATTTCATGTTTTGAAACCTTTAGCTTTGTTTACGAAATTTCGAGCATCGTAATTGTCCAAAATGTTCTTTCAGAATTATTCCCTGAAGCCTTTTCGTATAGATTTAAGCTTAACAGGGTTTGCATTGATGATTTTGAGTCCATGTAATGCACCTATCAATATTAAGCCGCTGTGGGGGGAGGGCGGGCAAAGGGGGGGTATTTGAACTCCGATCATCTTTTCAGTTCAAATGCCCGACCCCAGGGAAATTAAGCTTGGTCAAAAGAGTGCAAATTCCCCATCCCAGGGATATTAGTGTTGTTCAAAAGAAAGCAAATTCTCCAACTCTATCTAGAAAAGGCATAGGTCTGTCAAAAAGAGAATTAAACATCAAAAAGTTGTAAATAAAAGGCTACAACGCAACAACTTCAAAATGCAACGTCTGTTTAACATAAAAATGTCAACTAATTTATGTTAAAATTGTGACGACTCCCTAAACATATACGACTAATCAAGACAGAAAACATGGAAATTCTTATCATGACTAATGTCCTACACCATTGTGACATTTTAATTACTTACATTTTAAACAGAAACGATGAAAATAAAATGTTGACCTCTATCTGTAGTAGAGAAATATGAAAAAAGGCCCATAAGAGGACTCAAGATCTTAGATGTATTCACTAATTCATAATAATACACTGCACATGNGAAACATTGTGATCATTACCTTAAAAATGAAAACAACAACAACAACAACAATTAAAAGCTGAGTGAGAATGAAAAACAGGCAATATCTTTTTTTCATTAGACACTGCATTGTGTTGTGTCACAAAGGCATTTTCACTTAAGCTTACCAAAAAATCTTGAAAAACTTGAATAAAATACATTATGCAGCAATAATAAACACGTAATGTCTTTAGCATGAGGTACATTTCTTAAAGACTCTTTGTTGACTGTATGAGTGTCCCATTCATTTTTTAAATTTTGAATGCTTTTAAATAAAATATATCTTATATGTTTTAGGTGTAATACTTGATCCTCATGTAAATGTGAAGAATCCAATGGTAAGAAAACCAGTGCACATGATGAAACCAAGAGTTGTGACTCTTCAAAAGCCTCTGCATAACTCCCTGGAGAAAAGACAGCATGATTTGCCAAGAAGTGGGACCAACAAAAGTCCATCAAAGAGTGGCTCTGGCTCTTGTTTATCTCATGATGGAGAACTCTTTGGTAAGGTTACACATTTGAAACTCCTGCATTCTGGTCATGTCATACAGGGAAATGGGAAAAACAACTTCTTATTTTCTACTATTATCTAATGTATACATGTACCACTAATTGTGGAGTGTTTTCTTTATGGCATAAAAAGGGAAGAGACATTCTACTTAATAGATATTAATTTTGTACAATGATATCATGCCCGTTTTTTAATTATTAACAGCAATTATTATTTTATATGAGTGTTGAGAATGAGTTTGTTCTTGATAAAGTAATACCTGCAATCATATAGAATGGGGGCTAATTTATTACATGCTACTTGTACTGTACTTTTAGGTGGAAGGCGCCAGGGAGATGATAAAACCAGAAAAGAGTTGACATTGAAGGAGCTGAATCCTCAAGACAAGAAACGTGTGGCTAACTTGGTTAAAGAACTAGCTAAGGTAGGAGAGGAGCGAGAACATGCGGAGGAGAGGCTTAAAGCAGAGAGACTGGCATTTGAAGAACGGCTGGTTATCCTTCAAGAGGAGTATGATGCTGTTATCAAAGAGAAGATTTGTATCCAACTTACTTTAATCATCATTTGTTTGATTATGAGCATTTGCTTAAAATAGGATTCTTCATGTTCTGTTGTACAATAATCATTTAGAATGCCCTTAACATGTCCTTAAGATTTGCAAAAGAGGTTTCTAGAATTGCAGTCTCTGCTGGTGAAGTATCAGACAAATGGAAAAACACCATCACCGACAAAGACAGTGAAAAGTTCATTGGCTGGAGACAGGCTAGCACAGGTGTGTAAAAAAATTCATTTCAGGCAATGGCAAACAAATCAGTAATGTTGTATCAACAAGCTATGTATTGGGGCTTACTATGTGTACCAAACTTCTGATTCTGCTTGTGCAGTAGACTGACCAATATTTTTCATGGCTGTATTGATAAAGCATTTTGATATTTATGCGAGGCATGTAACTTTTGTTTGTTTGTTTTTTGTCTTATTTTCAAGGACACAAGCATATTGCTTGTATCGTCAGTTTCTCCTCCAAAGCCTATACACATTTCTCCCTCCAAATCTGCACTAACAGAGATTCCAGGAAATACAAGATCTGGCTTGGATGTTCCTTTAAGTGAGAAGCTTGATGCATCAGGATTGCAAGCAAATGCCTCACAGCCAGTGACAAATAAAACATTCCCTTTAATCAACAGGACCACCACAGAGTATAAAGATGTAAAATCAAAACCTGCACAACTACACAGCAGTAGCTTAACTTTAAGTGATACAGGAGAATCTTTTCCGAGAATTCTGGGACCATCTCAAGATGGTAAGCCTGTGGTGAGGACTAGCAGTGGAACCCTCCCTACCGCTATGCCCAGTAAAGTGATATCACCTCATAGTCAACTTGTGGAAATTCAACAGACTTCAGTTCAGAAAGAAGGACTTTCTTACAACTCTAAAGAAACAAGCGAGCCAAGGTTAGCTACATAACAATATACTGTAGTGTGATTGGACCGTACATTACCTATCGACCGGGGGTAGTTACTAGGTGATACTAATTGCAGAACATGTGTTGAACTGTCTCCCTGAACCTTGCCACAATAAGCAACATCAAATATCCACTTTGTTGGCAGCATGGCTGGTTCTGTGGCTGTGTTTATTAGGCATTGATAGTCTAGAGACCCAGGTTCTATTCCTGGCTGAATTACATTTTCACTCATTCCTTAGTTGTTGTTATTTGTGTTCCCAATCTACTTGTAACATATTACTATATACTGTACACGTACAAAAATTCCAATTTCCAATTTTCAAAAATCTGCAGTTAGCAAATGGAACAGGATTTCCAGATAGATGGCATTGGAATGGAATGTTTTTTCAATTTTTTATGTACGAGGCCACCCAAATTTTTGAAACTTTCTTCCCAAATTTCCATTCCATTTGATTTTGCTCTTGCATGGCTTGCACAGACCTCGAAAATTCCTTTAAAAACTACTGGATCCTGATCTAAAATCAGAAAAAAAAAAAGAAAAAAGAACATTACGTATCAATCGGTATCATTTGCTATAACGTCGTCTTGTTTTTCACTTTCAGTTTAAACACCTCTTCTGCTGTAACAAGTTATCCACACTTGCCCTCTGTTGTCAACTCACATCCGGCAGTGCACCCTGGGTTGACTGCTACATGTCAGTATCCAGCAGTACAAGCGAAGCCTGTGTTGTCTGTCTTTGGGGATGGTGCTTCTGAAACCAAGACTGATTGGAAAGTACCGCCAAGAAAACACGAGGATAGGTAGATATTTGCATTTCCTGGCATGAATGATGTGTTCATTGTACAAACAGCATGACCTTGATACAGTCACCAGGCCAGAAACGTGGAATCTGATTTCGAATATTCATCCGAATAATGGAAATATCCTTGCAGGGCTGTGCTCTAGAAGAGCCCGGGTGCCAAAGGCGACTAACTTTTGCCTTTTGGGCCACTGGAAAAACTCACTTTTTTCATATAAGCTTAGGTGCAGGGCACCCAGGATTTCATGGTTAGGAGCCTTTGGGCTCCTTGAAAATTTTCTTAGACCACAGCCTTGCCTTGTCGGTGTAGATTGCAAGATTTCTCCGCAATAAAGATTACTATGCACATCACGTCTGTTTTCGGAACTCTTCAGCAGTTTTGATTGTAAACTTCCATCGCTACTGGCATTTGCAAAGTGCAGAACTGTTGGAATACTTCTGACATGTTCTAAAACCGGTAGCAAAACGTTCGGGACATGCAATAATTGTAAGTTACTTTTTGGTGGTCAGGTCTTTCTCTGAAGTTTCTGGAGTCTCGGGGAGTTTCTCAGCTGAACTGGACGCTGTGTATCGACTGTACTGCCGTGAATATGAACTCCAATTACAGCTTCAACAACAGCAAATTGAACTGCAAAAACAACAGTTACAGCTACAGCAACAACTGCAGCAGGTCGAGACTCTACAACAACAACAACAACAACAACAACAACAACAACAACAACAACAGCAGCAACAGCCGTCAACGCAGAGGCATCAATCTATAAACCATGTATCATCCGCAACTCAGGTAACACATATTCTGTTATTCTATTAACTATGGGTAACAAAATAAAATATAAATTAATGAATGCATGAATAAATATGAAATATAAGGTTTTTGAATGCACTGGCAGAGTTTTTCGAGAAAGCTGCTTGAACTACATGTACTTCGTTCTAACGAGAGAAATCAGAGACCAAAGTTGTGTTTCTTTTTGTTTGTTAGCATGTGCGCATATAATAAATCCTACCGTCACAGAGACACGACCTAACGGAGTCTTATTTTTATAAAATTGGAGTTGTTTGTGAATAAACAATCGATCAGAGTAAAAGTGAGATGAAACACTGGTGTGCTTGAGGACTCTTAGTCACTGGAAGTTTTACAATATAGGTTCTCGTGTACAGGTACCGGTATGTACCCTTTTACCAGACTTGTGTTGAATATGATCTGATATTCGATGATTGTGATTTGATTTATTATAAACAGGTCACTCCTGTTGCTACTCGCGAGAAACACCTAACGACAGTTGTAGACGAGACGCCAGCAGCTCCGTCTCTAGTGCCGAGGCCAACGTCACAGCCTCGACAAGTATCGCCTGCTGGATCACTGGTTCCAACTCCAGAAGGTTTGTTCTTATCGTGTGTAATCACTGATGGTTCACCATTTTATGCAGGGAAATTAGCTGTTTGTACTTTGCTTTCTGGTTTTTGAGTTCGCTGGGTTGTTCGAGAAAGCTAGTTGTTTTATTGCGTGTTACTTGTATGTCAGATTAAAGACCATCCATGTCGTTCCAATTGCCACTGTTGATATATTAGTCCCTCATTTTCAAAGTGACAATAAATCTGTACCGCAGATAAATCTTTAACCAGCAGATAAAATTTATCTAAAATATTGTGCTACCGCAAGATTGGTTAATTACAAAGGGTGCATTTTGCTTGCAAGGGTAAATTTTATACTGTGCGGAATCTGGTTTCCGAATCTTGTTCAGCTGGATCTTTTTTGTAATAGACAACTTGAAAGTGAAGCTTGTGACTGACTCCGTCTATTCTACACTCTGTTTACTTGGTCGTTTATAGGTTGTTGTTGTTTATTACTGTTCTTCTTATAGTCTCCTCGTCTGCAACATCAAACGGCTATCGTACACCCGATGTAGGTGAAAAGCAACCACGCAATCTGTCTACTACTGGAGCATGCGTAGTGCGTGAAGATAGATGTGCTGGAGATGAAATGTCCAGTAGCACAGATCACAGGGACGGAAATAACAGGTCAGAAGTCCTGCTGATTAAGATCGTCAGATATTGCTCTACAAACATCATGATCATCTATCGAACATAGAGCTATTGCAAAAAGAAATGGTGTTTCATTACCCGGATCTACTGTTGGGGAGACCCAGGACTTAGATTAGGATTCTTACCCCCGAGAAAACCTGGGCGATTATTACATTACTCAGAACTCGCTATTGCAGGTTTGCTTTGCAATATTACCACCACGATAAACCAGCATTTCAAGCGTTCTTCCTTACTGTATATTCGTGTAACTTGAAACATGAAGTAGTGAGCCATACCACAATTTGTTTCGATGCATTGTTTTGTTGCAGATATTTTCCGCCATGTTTCCATGACAACTTAATACATAATGGGATAACTTTGCATTTTGGTATACTGCGTAGTTTCAATCTAGCTTAGAATCATTTCACTCATCAAAACTCAGTTTGTGATTCATTTTTATTCCTCTTGTGCTTGTGGCTATCACATCTAAACAGCATTTGTTCATCAGTTTGTTGATCAAAATGGAACAAGTTAATATTGCCAATTACGAACTTTGCTCTGATTGGATAGTGTCGCCACTATGCCAACGCAAAACCGTTTCGTTTCTGAGAAGACGATCCAAAAAAACTAACTGTCGATCTAGAGTAAAGTGAACCATTTCTTTCTTTCGTTTTGTTAGAATGCAGCTCGGAAAAGAAAACAAAGATCCTCATGTACCAGATCCCCCGGGCCGAGTGCTATCTGCTCCTCCAAGTCTCGGTCACCCAAGGTCAAACTTTAAACACCGGCAAGTGCCTCGACCTCAAGACGAGCTACACATATCCACTGATCATTCTTATCGCGGGAAAGCAGCCCCTGGGTACGAGGGGCACTCGATGGACGATAATCCGCAAGTCATTCAACAACACACGGATGGAAGAGCGAGGGCAGGTTATCATGGCAGCCGTCCTGCGAGCTCTAGGTATTCACTTCATAGCTGGGGTCATGACGAGTCCTCTAATAGAGCACTGATGGCCTTGAGAGAAAGAAGGCATAATCACGACTTAAATGTTGATCACGATACTTTTAGTGGAAAAGAAAGCAATAGTCTATTATATCCAAGATCTAATTATGACATGAAGTCTGAACGATCCAGCCTTGTAGCCGAAAGTTTTCGATCAGATAGTCTTCTTAGCGGTGCAAGAAGAACAAAGCCTCAATCTTTTTACCATGGGCCTCCCACTTCTCGCTTTCAAGGCACTTTTACGAGACAAGCCGTGCCTAGCGACAAGCACTTTTCCTTGTACAGTGATGTTGACCGTGAAGCACAGTCACGTGGTCATCACATGATCCCAGATGTTGATGACGTCATGGATTTCAGTCATGGAAGCTTGGAGCAAGGCGTAGAAAGGTAGGGAATGTACATGTATCATGTTTTTACTTACTCTACGGCTGTCTACTGAGAAAATACAAGGGACAAGTGGGAAGTTCCATGGTACATGTATACCACTCGAAAGCGTTACATAACTTGTGTATAACTGATAAATGGAGAGCATGTTTTCTTCGTGCGCGTATTCCTTTAGCGAGTGCGCGCCCAAAGCACACAGTGGAGATTTACTATTGCGTCTGAATACTACACGACTAGTCTGGATTCTATAAACATGTGAACATCAATTCTTGTCTCGTTCTGTATTGTTCCATCGTAGAGCAACTCTCGACAGCGCATATCCACTGTCACTCGTGGAGATTGTTGAGGACTTAGAAGACAAGACAACTCAACACGAAGATTTCCTGTTCACAAATCCAGGAGTTTTGGGGGGACTGGACACTACAGACTCTGGTTACTCACAGGACACTAACAAAGAGAGGAGTCCGCTGACCAGTGACATTGTCAACTCAGATGACGAGGAAGCGGCTGTTCTTGGGGATATATTTTTTCTCGCGGGAAGAGTTTGAACTTAAACATTCTTTTGTTTTGTAATAAAGTTTTGTACTTTTATGATTATTTTTTTATAATTATTGCTGAAAAGCCTTGTGTACGGAGCAATAATAACTCCTCTCTGATGTAGATGTATCAAGGTGATGATTAAGAAATTTAAAAAAGAAAGTGGAAAAAATAATTATAGTATAGAGCAAGTATTGGTGCAATATGATAGGCTATAGCAGCATGCTTTATGGAGGCGTGCTGTAGTGAGTAGTTATCTTATCGTTTAGGGAAAAAAATGATTGTTTGTTTGTATAGCACAAACGAGTAGAAATTTCACTCTTCAGCTTTGCTTTGTTTCCCGTGTGACAATGGATATACTATAGATTTAGATATGAAATCAACATTCCGTAAAGCCACATTAGGCCATTTTGAACGCTGATCGCTGCAAATTTGATCACTAATCCTCTTTCGCCCCAAACACACATAAATAGCGGCTGGTTACTAGTCAGAAGCGTGCATTGTGCCCAGCCTCGTTAATATGCTGGACACGGCAAGGATGAGGCTTGATTCTCATCGTGCACGCCATCTTTGATAACCATGGGGATGATTCTGCCTTGAAAATTGCCGCTAATTGCGAAAATTAGGCTAACAAGTAGAATAGAAATGGAATGGAAATGTAGTGCCTCGAAAAATGCTTTTCATGGTGCATTTGTTAAAATGATAAGTATTGAAGGTTGTTCAAAAATTGGCCCCCTTTGGCCGCTTTTTATGGCCTTACGCTACATGTAAATGAGACAAAAAATGTTTTATCACTGTAAAATGCCTATGATATCGTTACAAATTCCTATCTCAGAAGCGTGTGAGAAACGGAAAACGCGTACGTCTAAAACAGGGTTTAATTCAAAACAATCTCAGTTATTTTTCCGCGCAGGTCGGTCCGATATACAGGTGTAAACTGTGCTCTGCGGCCACGGACTTTACTCAGGACCTCCAGGACAGTTTCTCCCCATAGGAACCTCACGGCCGGCAAATGACAAACCTGAAATGAATAAGATTGTCCTGCAAAAGCGGAAACGCAAACGCAACATTAACTAAGGGTGTCATGCCAGTAGTCACATTTTCTCGTAACTTGATCAAAGTTCGTGGAGTTTTAGCTTGATGGAAGGAAAACCCACTATAACAAATAAAGTACGATGATGATGATGATGATGATGATGAACACGAAAACCCGTATTTAATGTTTTCCTCTTCTATCGCGGGGAAGCACCTTGAACTTCAATCAACTAACGAAAGAAAACCTTAATAAATAACTTTCGGCGCTAACGTTAACGCGTACGCTTCTGCAATTTTGTGGGACAACCTTTCTCGAATCAGCTGTATATGTTTTATCTCCAATAGATAAAAACTTAATAAACGTCTTATAAACCTAAACTGAACACTCAATCAAAGCAAAACCGCTATTTAATACCTATTTAAAGGAGGTCACTCCAAAAAGCTTACTTTTTTTGTCTTCGCCGATAGCAAGAAAACATTCAGCCTTTCCACTCACCGAAGTTTCAGCCTCAGAGGTGTCCGCTATCCTGAAGATATTCGTCTCGAAAGAAGCAACTTCGGAGGCCGCCATTTTGAGAAACCAGAAACTGCAAAGGACCGCATACGATAAACGCTGCCAATGTAGGATCTACAAGAGATCTGATCAGCCAAAAAAATGTATGAAGACAAACAATAGACTGCAAGGCTGATACGCTGCGTTTTTAAGGCATGGTACTGGCCATGCGGTTGAATGTTTAAATGTTTAGGCTGGCCTTGTCCAGCCACATTTATTCTTAACAAAATATACAGTGTATTATTTTGAACTTGACAACTTTGTGTTGATGATGACCTCAGCTGATGATCAAGATGAGAAGATTGTGAAAGTTCACATGCCAGGTCAGATGAAAAGTGTATCTGCTCTTAATCTATTGCATGTGTAAATTATGGAGAGATAAACCATTAGCAGTGTGTTAATACAATGTAATCTATGCTTACATACAGCTATAAATTTGTTGGTTCAATATGTTAGCTAACAATCTGAATAACGTGTGAAAGATGGCATGAATTATAGAATCTGTTACATTTCGCTGATAAATTATCTGCACTTACAATCAAGCCTACAAGATCATAGCATGCAAATATAGGTTATTGACCAAGCTTGTTTGGTCAAGAGGGCTGGAAATTGGCCAAGTTCTTTTTTTGCATGTTTATGGACCGAGAAGGAGTCAAGGTCCATAAACACGCAAAAAAGAATGAGGCCAATATCCAGCCATCTTGACCGAACAAGCTTGGTCAGTGAAGGATTTGTTATGTGGCTTTCGGGGAAATTTTTCTTGTGGGACATGGTGGGTAGTCTTGAGCGGGCAAG